GTATGTAAACTATTTTGCTATAATCATTTATTGTATGTTTTTTCCCCTTTTAAGTTTGTCAGGGAAAAACTCACAATGAAAATACAGAATAACCTCTTTATCAGTTGTCTTGCTTTTTATACTTTCACTATGACTGTTTTTGTTATTGAAGGACGATACACATTTACCTTCTGCAGGGAATCCAGGGTTAAACTTCTGTTGATTTTGTAATTATAATTTCTTCACTCTGAAATGCAAGATAACAAACACAAAAATGTACTATTAAAATACCTGTGTGTATGATTTAGGGGGAAATGAATGAATCGTTCATATCTCTAAAGGGGGCGGATCTTCCACTGGGCCAAACGCTTTGGTGAGGGCCGATCACAATTTACTTTACCAAGGTTCTCCTACTACAGGCTTGGAAGGGGAAGATAACGTAAGGGATATTCAGTTGGTTGCAATAAATACCACACAGTTGTACATTAATTCATTCATGAGTAAACTTTTTTTCAAACTTTTAAAATTTATTAGAGAAACCACATGTGATTGAGACCATGGTCATCAGCTTGTATGTATATTAATCGGATTGATTTCATTATTATAGATTCACCTGTACCTGGGCATTAGACAAATGTGGAGGCTTGGGTGCGACACCCGGTTTCATTCTGATGATCACCGGTGAGCTGTTTCTCCTCAGGCTAGGAGTATGACACAGTGGGCGGGGCTTTGAATTCTGGGATTTGAACGAGGAGGAGGAGTTGTCCACTGCCTCTCCTCCGATGGCAGACAGGCAGCTGGGGTCCGAGCTGCTCAAGACATTGATGTTTTCCCTAGATGACTCGGTGCTGTCCACTAAGGCAGAAACACAAACACTTTGAGAAGCAGACAAAGCTGAAGTTTGTGCAGATAAATATCATCCAGACACTGAGTAGATTGACTGGGGACAAATCACCAGGAGTGCATGCATTGCTGTTTGCCAGTGTCATTCTTGTTGCTACCACCAGAGAGTGCCAAAGAATTAGCAAATCTACAGTGACTTTACAAATACCATATTATAATTTCACACTTTGTTATTGAAACATGTATGGATTCTGAAAGGCTACGGCAGCCAACAGACCCCTCTGTCTTCTGACAAAAAACTAAACAATTTAAAGAAAGACAAAAACACTTACAGAGAAGATGAGGATTTTTCCACTTCTCACAGTTACGATGAAGATGCTGATGAAGATGATGATGGTTGAGTTCATTGTCAGTCACTGCCTCAGGGAAGGAGCAAATGGCTGGACCGCTCTCCAGTCCCTGCGACTGGTTCCCGAGATATCCAGCAGGGGGCAGCGAGCCCCGGCCAGAGGAGGAAGACGATTGGCTGAGGGTGGTGGAGGCCGTGCTGCCAGAGCCAATGGAGTGAGGCCGTGGATAGTCTAAGCCCCTGTGAGAACAACACGCCACAGGGACTGACGACACACATAGATAATGATGTGCTTGGTCAGTGAGCAATGAGGACACAAGCACGGCCTGCAGTTATTTCATGAATACACTTAGCTTGTTAAATGAAGTTAGACAGTTTGAAAAATATTTTAAAGCTTTTAACAAAATTATAATCTTTCAAAAATGTAATTAAAAGCAAAAGGATGAGAATCAGCCTCCATAGTGGCTCTGTGACGCTTAATGCTAATATCATCATGCTCACATGCTCACAATGGCAATCATAGACTGTCAATAATAATGGACGACATGGCAGCTCCCCAAAAGTGAAGCCACAGTGTCTCAATGGTCAAATGGTGGCTGGCTGCAGTACAGGTCACAAGCTCTCCCTCCTCCATGTAGTGGATGGGACATGGACCAAACTAAAAATTCAAAGTACATGTTAAAAAATTGTTTCCCCAAAGACGGTTTCTTTCATGTTAGGTATTTGTTATCACACTAACATGTTCAACTGCTCATTTTACCACCAAGTTTAGTTTTAATTATTTATTTGATGCTATAAATACAGGGCGGAATGTCATGATTGAGAGCTAAGACTGACTTGGTCGACCGTGTGCATCCTCAGGACCTCACTACCTCAGCCCCATCCCCAAAGTGTTACTGCGTACATGCCCAACTTGATAGCGTTTGAATCCTTGATACTTCTGGACAGTGGGAAGAAGCGATGCGTCGTCCATATTTATAACTGTCTATATGACAATGCAAATTTGAAAAGGTGGAATGTTGCTACCATGTTCACCATTTCATTTTAGCATATTAGCATGCTAACATTTGCAAAAGATCACACAACAGAGTATAGCTGAGGCTGATGGGAATCAAAAGGTTTAAGAACAAAATCCAATTTTGAACTGAGGATTGCGCAAGATGAGAAGTAATTTCAGTTTTGACCAAGGTGGCATTGATCTGAAGTGTAAAATGTTGTGTGTGCAGCTCCTTACTTCTCCCAGGCAGGGAACAGCTGACAGCTCGGTCACAAATCGCAGAATCACTGGGTTGAATGTCCATAAAATGTTTGCTGGCCATTCCCATAAACACCCTCTCCTGTATACGAAGCTCTGGAACATTAAGAATATTCTCAATATGTTTTCTACATCTACAGCATCACACAGCACTGTAAACTGTACCTTCGTTAAATGAAAGAAAATATATATTTGGTATATTTATTTATATACTTTAACAACCTCTGCTGTGAGTGGCCTGATCCCACAGGATCCTCTCCAGATCGGTGGTCCAGGCTTTCTTCACCTCCATGCTGGAGGCTTTCAGGGTGTAGGTGTCCTCGCTCTTCCTTCTGCGAAACCAGATCTCAAAGCACAGGCCGCTCACAACAGAGTTATGGGTCATCCCAATGTCGCTGGTCTGGAAGAGAAAACACAAAGACAAGTTTTGGCCCCACTAGATACTTTTAAATGCTGGAGGCTTCAAATGTCTGACTAAAGTGTAACTCCGAACTGAAATAAATGATATCAATACATCAAGGTTGAGTATCAAGGCTTTCTTCTGTGCTGACCTTGAATGACTGCTTGTAGACATACACATCATTGCCAACATCTGTCCTCTTGGTCTTGCTGAAGAGGACGAGATGTTCAAAGAGAAAGATGCGGCGGACACATTTCTTCTTCCTAAAGAAAACTGTGAACTCATCCTGACGAATCAGCTGGCCCTGCTCTTTCAAATTCACCTGAGAGAACAGAGGAGAGCAGCCGCAGAGCAGAAAGAAAAAGACGGTTAACTTCATTTAACTTCTGTGTATTAACTATGTCTGATCTACCTTTTTAGTATCTTACATCACAGTCCTGGATGGCGTCCATTGTGAGCAAATCGTTGCCGTGACGCATCTGAAATCGAACCAGGTCCGCAGCAGCCTGGATCTCGGACCTCTCCCGCTCCCTCTCGCTGCTCGTCAGATCAGGCACATACACACCCTGGCCACACACACTTTGTGCGCAAACAGAAGATTCGAGAAGCGTGTCCTGGATTATGTCTTTTGGTCTGTATGAGCCGGCCAGAGACAACATGTCCTGCAGCAGGAGGCTGTACTTGCTGATCCTCTGGATGGGCCTCAGCAGGTAGGATGAAAGATCCATCATGTCCCCCAGCTCCTGCTGCTTCCTCTGTGAGGGGAAACAAAGTGGACTGTACAGCTGAAAAGATGAAGCATGGAACTAATGCTTTCACAGGGTCAGAAACGTGTTTCAAACTCCAGGTGATTGAGATGGAACATGTGAAGCTTCCGGGAGCCATAAACTGTTTATAAAGACGGACGCTGCAACAACTCCCCAAAACTGAAGCCAAATCCTCTTAAACACCCCCGAGTGGCTGGTCACCAGTTTAGGTTATAAACCCTGTCTCCTCCATGGTAATATATGGGAGGACCAAATTAAAAAGTCTCAAAAACTAAGATGATTTCTGATATTTTAGGTAGGTCTTATCTCACTGCTGTTTTTGCTCAGATTTAAATGTTTCCAGTCAGTTTGGTTTAAACTAGTTATTTGGCATAAAAACTGGGTGTAATGTCATGATTGACAGCTGAGACTCACTCACGATTGGTCCACACCATGATCGCATCAGTGATAGTTTAGCTTCGTTTTGTTATAACGGGAGGAAGTGGAGACATGTGTTCCTTCTTTGTATACAGCCAATGAAACATCATTACAAGCTTTTGTTTAATTACACAAACTAAACTAAACCTCTTGTGTTGTTGCGTTTAGAGAGAGACAGGATGTGAAATCTGACCTTGAAGATGTCGTGGCGACGGTGCAGGATGAGGGCGTCTGACTGAGGTTTGTTCTTGCTGTACAGAGCGTACAGGCCAAAGCTCTCACTCTGTGGACACAACCAAAGTCAAAAATATGAGAGAACACATTTTATCAAAGATACAATAGTAAACTGATTTACAAGCCACTTATTCATTTGCTATAAAACTGATTCATTGACCTTATGAGTGTAATCTTGACACATAATAATAAATAAAAATCAATTCAAGATAAAAACAATCTGGGACACTTTAAAGATATTATATCTATATATAGATATAATATCTTTATATCTATATATATATCTATATATATATATATATAGATAAAGATAAACAACATACACAGTTCATTTGAGGATAGTTGCACAGTGACTACTCACATGTCTGAGAAAGCAGCGGGCCACCATGGCAGGCTCCCTCTGGCAGGCCTCCAGCTCAGGCAGGAAGTAGTGGCTGTGGAAGTTGTAAAGCTTCTCCAGGTTCCCGAAGATGATGCCTCGCTTGCCCCTGAGGTCCTGGGGGATGTCAGGTCTGTCCAGCAGGGGGAGGTAGTGGGTCAGGATGTAGCTCAGCGATCGTACGTACTCCCTCTCCGTGACCACCAGCTCCTCCAGCACACGCTGCAGCCTCCTGATGACACAACACGTATCTAGTCAACTTCAAACGCAGACATTAACTTGTACACTTAACTACATAAAAGCATTTCACAACGATACCAAATGAAATATTTATTACTGAGTAGAATTTATAAGTATCTGATTCGTTTATTTCTGCATCATTTAAATCCAGAATTTAGGTGTGTTTTTTAGATCTAAAATATTTTCCCTTGTCCTTTTTGAATGATACATTACTTTTATTTCTACATACTGTGATTGACTTATGGATTAGTTAGAAAACCCTTAGTTGAAACATTGATGACATACTGTTAGTTTCTCTACGTTCTCCTGCTATCTGGTCCCGGGAGTACTAGAACTGCAGGAGATAAGGTCACAATGTTTCTGAGTTGAATTATGCCTAGAAAAGTGCTTTCACAAAACTTTATGATGTCAAAGTGAAGTTGACCTTTGACCTTTTGGATATGCAATGTCTCCCTTTCATACCATGAGACATTTTTGTCATTAGCACATTAATTATTGGTGTTTGGTTACAGCGACCGCCACCTTTGTCCTCTGTCCACCAAAAGTATAAGTTCCTATTCCACACCAAGTGAAGTGAAATATACATATATAAAGTTATGCATCATTATCAGCACACTGTCCTTTTTCTCTCTACGTCCACTGTGAAAGAAAAAAACACACTGAGCATGGATGGACTACGAGACGACAGGTCCCTGGACACAGTATGTAGCTCCCCTGCTCTTGTATATGATTTTTTAAAATATTATTTTATACTTTATTTCTGTGTGAGGGCGGGACTTATTGTTTTAATGTTTAGTTTCTCTCAGAACCTGGGACAACTTCACTTGTTGCACAAAGAAAATTAAAGAACAGAAGAAGAAAATCTTACAGCAGATGGTTCACGCCCCCACAGAAGCAATGAGCGCAATGAGCGAACCCTGAATTAAGTGCATAGTTATGTTTAAGTACTACAGGACAACAATCAGATTAAGAAAACTTCTTCTCACTGTCGACTGAGCATGTTCACTTTGCAGAGAAACATCTCATTGTTAAAAACGTCTTAAGCTAAAGGATTGTGCATCGTGGGCCTGTTAGATAATCCATCCATGTTGCAGAATAAAAAAAAAGAGAAGCAAAGAAAGTGTGAAGAAACAATACCTGTAGTACGTCATTGTTGGCTTAGAGATAGAAAAGAGTGCATGAAATCTCATTAAGACTCAGACGACTGAGAAAATTCAATAATACATTTTCATTCCACCAATCTGATGAGAAAATAATTTGCAATTGTCATATTTCATATATTTTAATCTATGTTCTCCCAGAGACGGTGTGAACTTACAGGGCATTGCTGGCACTCTCCTGAGGATTTGCCAAATAGAATGCCCCCTCATATCTGCCCCCTATGGGCAGGCTGGAGTGTTTGCAGCATAAAGTCGCATCACCACCTGCAGCTCCTCGCTCGCTCGGACAGGAGTCCTCTGAGCAGAAGCTGCTGTGGCGGGAGATCTGGAACTTCTGAGCCTCCTTGAGAATCCGACAGGACGGCTGACCGTGGTGGGAGCAGGACGAGGGTGGTCTTACTCTCTGCTCTGGAGGAGTGGAGGACCCTGCTGTCACTGCCCCTGTGGTGCCCGTGTCTTGGCTCACGGACCTCGTTCTGAGGCCTCGTGCCCATGGAAACCACTGGCAGCCGACAGTGTGTGACTGGGACAGAGCGGCAGCATCCCGCTCTCTCCTTGCTCTGCTTGTCTGTCTCCTCGTCACCTCCCTCTCTGTTCTCCTTCCTGATCTATTTGAAAATTAAATGTAGAGTCAGGAAACAAGTGCTGCAGCAAGAAATTGATTCACGATAAAGGAGATCAAGGCTCCTCACCCTGTTTGAACGAAATGCTCTAGTTAAATCCACATCAAGTGAGATGAGTCCACTCACCAAAGAGTTGTATTACCTGTGAGGTGACTGTGGAGTGACCTTTGACCCCTGGCTGGTTCCAGCATCACTAGTATCCTCAGGTTTGATGACGATGTTACAGCAGGCTACATTGGTTGAATTAGTGGTGTTGCTGCCCATGATCGGCTTTCTCTTCCCTAAATCCACCGCGCCGGACACAATGCCTTCCCACTGTGGGTGCCGAGGCCCAGGGGTCGATTGTACCACCAGATTCTGTCCACCGGGTGACGTCACCTGAATATCTGTGCTCACCACATCTACATAGCGACACTCACAACTGCTGCTCGACTCTGGGTTTTGGTGGTGCAGTTCATCCACACCCTGCATCCTCTCCTGAAGCTGCTGTCTGGCCTCCTGACACCTGAGCCAGGCTACGTTCCAGACCCGCATCCCCCTGGTGCCCTGCAGGGCACCTGCCTGAGCCTTCACCTCCTGAAACCTCTCCAGGCTGAACTGGAGAAACCGCTCTTGAAAAGTCTGAAGAATTGAGTTGTCGTTGCCTGACGGTGAAGCACTGGTGGTGGTTGGACCAGAGCCATGTGCTTCGGGACATTCAGCCTGGCAGAGAGGGGGGGTGCTCCGTCCAGAGTCTTGGTTTTGTTGAGAGTTTTTTTGACTCTGGTCCAGGTAATCAATGCATTCTCCAGCCAGAGCGGCTGCCTGTGTGCAACAGAGGTTCTCTTTTACTAAACAAAAAGAAAAACTGCATTTTCTTTGTTTTTATAAAGCAACAAATGTTGATAAAGTTGCAGTGACATTGTTCATATGCTGAAAACTACAAGAAGTGTATAAGTAACACAGATGTAATTGTTTTCCTGTTGACTGATATTTGTATGATCTCTTGTTTGAAACAGAACATAACGTCATGTACTGTCTGCTCTAAAGAGAAGTTTACACAGAAACGTGGCAGCACATCTTTCAGCTCTGTAGACATACAGTAAACAGAAAGAGGTGACAATTGCCAACAATGATGTCAACTTGGAAAGACAATGCTCCAGAGCTGACTCTGCACTTGATTTCTGAACTCTGATTTTATACAAACCTGCTCACAGAAATCACACACGTTGACCATTATCTGCAGCTCTCTGCCGCAGGCCTCAGCCCTGGACAGGAAGTCCTCCAGGCCTGACTTGAAGGTGCAGACAAAAGTCCTGAATGTCTCCGTCTCCGGGTAGTAGAGGCCGCTCTGCTGCAGCCGCTCTGCCTCGGACACTAACGACATGGCGTGGTGCCTTCGGTCCTGGGGAGGGAGAGGAGAGACATTCAGAGAGGAGGACAGACAGACAAACACCACTAATACAAACACAGACACAAGCAGAGACACACATTTGCTTCAATAAGGAAACCAGTGAAGCTATTGAGGATCTGCTCCATTCTGTCCCCAGAGTCATCCACTGACTCAGCCTCCAGCAGGTGGCGCTCTCCTTCTAAATGAAACCACTGATGCATCTGCAGGGAGAGAAAGATGCAAAATAATATTTGGTAAGATAGTTATTAATCTTAGGTGGATACATAAGTTCCTGTGTTTTTATGAGTATATGTACTTTAAGTTAAAATTTTCACTTGTATGTACGTAAACTGTTTAAAGTTGTTTTATTTTATTATTAGAAAAATAAGTAGAAATTATGTATTAAACAATGCATGCAGTTCCATGCTCATCATCAGCATTTCTTTAACTTCTGTGTCATTTGATCTGACCCTCCATCCCAACCATTAAACAACAACCACTTCTTTTGTCATATAACATTTGCTATAGAGGGATGTCAAAGATCTGTAGATGCATTTGATGGGTCAGTTTGTGTAACATGCAGTACCTGAGTGAAGTGTCCCTCCATCTCCCGGAGTTGCAGCAGGTACTCCAGGTGTTCCAGTGACACGTTGGACCTCAGCACCAGGACGTGAGCCTGCTCCTCCATGTGGTTGTACAGACTGCTCACAGAATCTACTGCATCACTGTGTGAAGGGAAAAGACAGATCAGGGCCTTAAGAAAATCTGTAATTATTATATACATCATGTTGTTTTCTACTGTGTCTAATTGTATTATTGTTATGTCATTAAATAATGTATTTTTCAATACAATTAGTAATCTCCCTCAGATCTCAGTCTCAGTGACTCACCAGATAGAAAAACAGTTTCAAAATTGTAATTTTCCAACTAGAAGAAAATCACAGTTTGAAAGAAACATACCTTGCACCATATATTATTAAAACACCTAATTTCTTTGACTTTTGGATTTGACTTCTGTAAAAAGTTGAAAATCTTGCTGGACCATTTCAAGGTTTTTGGTGGGGTTTTTTAAACATTTTGCTTGTTTTGTGTCTGTTATTAGCAGAAATCGTGTCTTGCTTGAGGTTTATTTTACAGCAGAAAGAACGATGAATCACAAGGTGTAACATGAACAGTTAAACCCACATCAGACCGCAGACCGGGTTTTCTGCACATGTAATTACAGCAGGTAAGTTCCTCTGTTTACCTGAGGTCTTCACAGTGGGGGTATTTGAGGTCGCTCTCCCTTCTCAGCCTCGCCAAGATGGCCCCACCCTCCCTCTGCAGGCCGACCAATCTGCTGTCCTCCAGTACGTCTCTCATCAGAGTCCTCTGGTCCATCATGCACTGCTGCACAGTCTGTTAGACAAAAGGTCATCTTAACATCAGCACATGATGCAGTGACTTCTTTATAAATTATCTTGAAAGCTTTTCCTTCAATGGAATCAGTGGAAACTGAGGCACAAAATGTACACAATGAAACTTCAGCAGCTCGGGGTCTCTCAATTAAAACAATAAACAAAGTCTAGTTTGATGATGTTATGAAGCAGTTTGGGATCATGGGAGTTATTTTCTTCACTATCATTGCCAATGAAAATCTACCTGACGTGACTCAGGTGGAAAATATGTTCATAGATGAGGTGATGTATTATACTTTTATTCAGGTTTCGCAGCAAACGGCAACAAATAACAGTTTTTCCACTAGAGTGACCAATATAAGACTGGGTAAACAGCTACAAGTGTGTTTTTCTTTAGTCATACGTCAAAGTTACAGCCGAGACAGACAAAACCACAGGTAAAGGATATGATGCAGTTAATAGGCCAACAAAATGTAATGTCCCTTAAAAATAATTGTGAATTTCTCCGGGTTTAAATAAAGTAACTATACAAGTCAACAAAATATATAACATAGGTGTGGTTATTTTTAGACATTTTAATAAACAACTGATACATATTATAACTTTAAAGTACCGGCACATTGTCTGTCCTCTTGGGCTCCTCTACTTTACTGATGGCGTTCAGAAGCAGGCTGGATGCTTCATGAAGATCTGATACAAATGGGAAAAGTTTCTAGAGGATGAAAGATGAGAACAGGGATTAATATGCGTGTGGTGAAGAGTCAACTCGTACCCCACCTGATTAAAGAGGAGAAGCAGGTAACAGGTAATGTACTGTACTGAGGAGACCCTCTCACCTGGTGCAGCTCTATCCAGTCACAGTGGCTGTGAGACAGTGTGCCGTCCAGACGGGAGGTCAGCTGACTCCCCTCCACGAGCTTCTGCAAGGCTTTCATCGATGTCACCATATCCGTCTGCTCAAAGTAACAACCGTCAGAGAAACACCAGCAAAGAGAAGAATAACACTCAGTATAGCCCATACCCGTGCCAAGATCCAAAAGTTCCCTTAAATTCAAACAAGCTGCACCACATTTCACAGAGATATCAGATTATTCATAGATGTACTTCATCAACATCCATGAATTATGTTCTGTGTCTAGAACATATAGTCTGTAAAGGCCTGACTTATAGGCTGCATCCCAAAATGTGTTGGAGAGGAAATAGTGTTCTGTGTGGTAAGGGTGCTTGTCAGTCAGGTGAGTTCTTCGAACAAAGGAGACAGACGTCAACCAGAGTGCAGCAAATGTCACTATAGAGTCCGGGTGACCTCAGGATCAACTTCTGCAAGCCATGAATAGACAATGGGCTCACATGCTAGACAGTGTGGTGCACATGCTTTATACATAACGTTTATGTCAAGCTGTACCCTAGATAGAAAATGTCTTCTGTAATCATATACTAAGTAGTTATTAAGCAAAGTAAGTAGTTATTAAGTAAACTTCCTTTACATTATATTTTCTCAAGGTATTTTACATTGGACCGAAGTGATGGCCCGAAAAAAACAACTGACCATGTAACAAGCCAGACTAGAAATGGACTTTAAAAATAGATGTTAATGAAGCTTATTCAGATTTCAATTAACTAAACATAAGTGTTTCTCCATATGGAGTGTTTTAAATTGAATGTTGTGATGGGTGGAAGTGCTCACCTGGACCCCGGGACATCTCTCAGGCCGGAGGCTGCTGTCCTTGTCCACCAGCAGCACCAAACTGTTCAGTACCAGTGGACTCTGCTCCTGCAACAGTTTAGCACTCAGTTAATCCCAAACTACCACAATTTTATATGTTTAAATTTGGGTTGCATACTTTTATTCATCATGACAAATAAATTAAAATAGAATAATCATCAATGCAAGTCAATTTATACAATTAAACTGATAGAAATGGTAGAACATGTTATCAAACTGGCAGAAAACAACTATATTTAGCTGTCATTCAAATAAACATCAAATTGTATATCATTATACAATATATTGTATGTGTGATTACAAATACACAAAGCGTATTACATGTTTCACAAACTGGTGAATGTGTACATGCTGTTTATATCCAGGTTCTCTTCACAATGTTTCCAAAGCATCAGCCAACAGCTCTGATCCGCTTGAAAGCAAAAACATGTGACCTTCCTACCTGAAGCGTCATCAAGGCCTTGTAGAGCTGTGGCTGAGGATTTGTCTTTCTCGCATCAAATATAAGAGTCATCCCAGCTTCTCTGATTTCTCTCCTACGGATACAAAAAATACAATTACTGCCCTGTGGTTGTATGCCATCAACTAGTGCAGTTTTAATCGTACACTTTTTTTCAGACTCATATGAGGTCACTGTGACCTGTGACCACTGAAATGGAATCAGTTTATCTTTGAATTCAAGTGACAATTTGTCAAAAAGAAAATCCTCTAAAGGCAGACATGAGATATGATGTGTTTGCAAGTCACTGTGACTTTTGACCTATAACCACCCAAATCTATCAGTTTATTTTTAAGTCCAACTGAATGTTTGTACAAAATTTGAAGAAAATTCCTCAAGGTGCTCACAATGTATCATGTTTTGTGACATTATAGCGACCTTGACCTTTGACCTTAAACCATCAAATCCAACAACCGAAACCCGAGAACATAATGCCTCTGGCCACTAGGTGTCGCCAGTGTGGAGGCACAAAAAGATAAATTAGAGCTGAACAGATACGGCCCTCCTGAATGCCGATAAATGTATAGTTGTTTTTTCAGTGGGATCTGAGTCCCATGTGCTTCTTGCATTATTCATTGATCGACAGGCATATGGATGAGGATTACAGATTACCTGGTGATCAAGTGGAAGTAGAGCAGCATGTGGAAGATCTCCTGGCTTGTTCCAGCTGATCTCCAGCCTGGGTGCTCTCCATAGAGCTCAACGATCGCCCTGCCTGTCCTGTCTCTGCCACCTGGAGGGATTAAAGAGAGAGAGGGGAGAGATGAGGGAACGACTAACATGCTGTTGTCTCTCTGTTTTCTCCTGTTTGAACCAAACACCTGATCTATCTCAAAAAGGGCTAAGAATAGAAAAGAGTAGTTTATTGTGGCAGGACATGTTACACAGCTTTTCAATTTCTCAACTTCTCCCTCCCAACCACCTCTTCCAGGGTCAGAGCATTTAAGAAAACAAGTATTGGGAGGAAATGCAAAAGTAAAGCAAGATAACACAATAGTTCATGAGAAACTGAGACCCTCTGTGGGCTCTGTACATCAGTAGAATTTATAATGAAGCTTGTTCTAAGTACAGTTTATATTTTTGTATAACCAGCATCTCTTTCTGCTCTCATTCAGTGATTCACAGTATAAAACTATTTACTTACCTTTGTTTTTATTTGAATCATTGTAAAGAACTACTGTTTGTAGCTCTTCAACATCTGCCCAACCACCTATGTGTATTGTAATGACAATCGTGGTAGCTGATGTACTTTAAAGCATCACTAACCTACCTGTTAGTGATGCCACTCCCAGATAGAGGGGGTGGGCTCTGGGGTCTGGGGAACCCAGGGGGAGATGGTCGGGTCTGGGACGAGCAGAGGCATGCTGGGAGACCTTCTGCGTCTCTGCTGCTGAAGGTGGACCTGTCTGAGACGGGTTCTCCATCTGATGACAGTGTCTGCTGGTTGATGATGTACTGCTGGGCTGAGCACCATCTGAAGAGAGTGGATATGAAGGGAAGCTGCTGAAAACTAAACTTCATCTGTAACTAGGCCAAATGAAAAGAGCAAGCTCATATAACATGTAACTAGAACATCACTCTACCTGGAATGGCCACCTTCCTCCGGCTGATCTTGGGTGACACCAGCCCAAAGGCTGTGCTGTTTTTACATTTGACAACATGCAGCTGGGGAACCTCTGCGTGGGAGCTTTTATTTTCTCTTCTCCTGACATTTTGACCTTCAACAATGACCAGTTCACACTTCTCTGAGGTGTCCACCACCGCTGTGGAGAGGGACGAACATCTTCCATTTGACGTGGATTCCCGTCTGTTGTGTGACCCTGTGAGAGGCTTTGAGACGTTTGGACTTATTCCAGAGGAGCTGGTTCTGTTTCTTAATCTTTCCCGAGGCTTGGGAGTCATGCTCGTCCCTGACACTTCACCTGCACTACACTGGAATCCACTGTGTTTGGTAGAGGTCTGTTGAGAATCTGACAAATCTTGATTGTTGATCTTTTTTCCTGTTGCTGAATGTTTCCCGTTCACGGGTTTGGCAGAGTGTGTGTACCCTGTTTCCCTGAATGGCACAGTGTTTTTTTCAGCTGGCTGCTCTGGTAGCCCACCATATTTTAAAGGATTGGTGCACCTGTGCTCCATACAGGGGGCAGAGCTAGAATCTCCTGGTTTCCAATATGGAACAGTGTTTTCTTCTCCTGACTCTTTACAGATGGCTCCACTGACAGAGACAGGAGGCTGGTTTTGGATCCCAGGATCACACCACATTCCTCGTACATTATACCGTGGATCCTCTGTTTCAGTCCCTGGTGGCCTCTGTCTGTCGTCACACTGTGAGAAATCACCATCCTCCTCCACCACAGCTAACATATTCCCCCTATCTCTCTCTTGCCCAAAGGTGACAGGGTTTTGTATAGCAGCCTGGTAGGAGTCCCTGTATCGGCACCTCAGCTCCTGAGCTCGGGAGACCTGTCCTCCTTGCCTCCTCTTCATGCACGGAGTACAGGGTTTCTCTGAGAACCGGATGGTGCGGACACACTGAGAGGGTTCCAGGGAGTCGGGGGGGGTGTGGTATAAGTGGGGATGGTGGGGAGCAGATGCAAGGCCTGTTTCTGCGGACATGTTTGACGTAAGTGATACAGGAGCGTCTGATCTAGAATGACTGTGCGTTTGTGGTTTAGCAGGTGCCTGCACCCAAGGTTGTGAATGCGCCTGAGGTTGTGAGGTCTGTGTGTTTAGCTGCCTCTGTGTTTGCCTGAAGGACTCTAGTTGTGCATGTGGTTGCATTTGTCCTCGTCTTTGTGGATGTCTTTGCATTTGTGCTTCAATTTGTGTGTGCGGCTGCATTTGCAAATCTAACTTCTGTTCCTCGGTCACTGACTGAGCTTTAGAAAAAAGCATAGTTGCCTGCAGAATATCAATGTATTCCCCTTCTGCAGCAGCTTGGCCTGCTGGCCTACCTCTGCTTGTATCTTTATGTTTATCTTGTCCTGTATTCTCACAGACAATCAGACTCTTATCTGCAGCTTTGTGTGTATTTGTACTTGCAGGAGTGCATGTACCTGAAGCAGCACTTGTTTTTGTCGCTGTGTCTGAACCAGTAAAGCGACTGTCCCATGTATTTGGGGAAACCCAGCCAATAGGCTTGTGCTCTGTTTCAGTTTCTTTCACTTTGACAAGTCTAGATGAAGAGGCAGCGTTCAAATCCACCAGGCAGAGGGACACAGCGATGCCGTGCTTCGCTGGACATATTCTCGTCTCCACAGAGAAGGCAGAGGGATGTGAAGAAGATGCTGAGACTGAATTTTGAACGTTACACTCGTTTGGTGCAGATTCCCTTGCAGGTGAAAGACGAAATGAACGATTCGACAAAGAGTTCTCAGAGAAATGAGGAAGTGGAGGAGGAAGTGGAGGTGGTAAAGGAGGATATGAAGGAGGAACAGAGGCCATACTACTCCCAGCACACTGTGGCACATCCACAAAATCAGGCATGGCCACCTGTTCCCATGGTAACTTCAGCACTCCCTGCTCTGTGGCAAGCAGGCATCGGCTGAGGGGAGTTCCATGGCGGCCCTGGTTGATCTCCTTTAACCACTCACAGCTGAATATACAAGGGTAAGAAGTTTCAGGGATCGGAGTCTCCTCAACTACTTCCACTCTAAGCCCCTCCTCTTCCAGGAGGCTGCACACCACGATGCGAGCTGATTGGTCACAAAATGGTGCCACTTGTAGGTAAAAGTCACCAGGCAGGAGTATGAGGGGGTTGATGGGAGCAAGGTGGACGACAACTTGGTCACGCAAACACAGAGGCCAGCCCTCACAGCGGAAGAGTGCATCAGAGTACTGAGCCTAAAAGGACACGGACAGGATGTGTTTTCAGAAATTTGAAGTATATGAATGTTTTTTGTCTGTTTTTATCATAATTTTAGTCAATGACACAGATCTTTGTTCAGCTTTGTGGTGTATTTATGTCTCTTTACACTCACACAGTGCACAAGGCAGGAACTTACACATGCAGCCTGCTGCACAGTGTCTAAGATGTGCTTGGCTGGGACCAGAAAGTCCAGCAGGCACCGCAGGGCGTCTCCCTGATAACGACCATCAATGATTTGGAAGAGCTGGCTGAGGAGTGTGGGGGCGGTGGCCTCGAAGGGGGGGTACAGCACCGACAGCAGGTTCTGGATCGAGTCTTCCAGAGAATCAAAGTTCTGGAAACACAGGAGAGAGAAAACAGAGCCATCAAGAAATCATTCATCATTAGATTGAAGGTGGATGAGCCATGCTCTGTGGCTGATGACAATTTAGTCCAAATTGTCACTAATTATCAATAACTATCACAATATAATTTTCATTAAAATCCATATAATAACAGTTCAATACTTATAAATCAATATATTGATTATTCAATTTGTGAGGAGGTATAACACATAATTGATTGACCTCAGATTTGTTAAATGTGTCAAGTGTTTGTCATTCTCTTTAGTTTAAGTTTAAAACCACAAGCTTCAATCAGGAGCAAAAGTCTTTAAGCTTAACAGAAATAATAATTTGACTTTTATCTGAAAATTGTGCTTGATATGAATGATGACAAAAATATTTCTGGCAATTGATTCAATTCATTACCACCAGAAGGAGGTAATATTTCCCCCCTGTCTGTCTTCTTATATTTTTCATCTGTAATAAATCAGGTATGATTAGAGAACAGATTTTTATGAATTTGTGAAATTTGCTGCATGACGATTGAATGTATGGACTTTTGGTCCTTGGTGTGTAAGGTGTGTGGCATTCTAGTGCTCCTACAAATAAATACTGTTATGTAAGACAATGCTAAACAACAGAACACTTGGAGTGAGTCACTTTCATTTGACTCACGTCTTACAGTAAATTACAGAGGCCCTGTCCTCAACGTCGTGACCTGCTGAGAGAATAGCTACACGGACACAAACAATCTGTGCTCATCATTAAACATAAAGTCCGCCGGACTGACAGCAAACATCCAAGTAAACACAGTGTGTGATGGCTGGTCTCAAGGCTAGCTAGCCTCCTGGTTTATGGTTTCACATTCCCTTTGACCTGAACTCATGGTCCGCTACCCACTTTTAGGCCCTGCTTTATTTAGCCCGCCAAAGGCCACAGCAGCAGACCTCAGGGGTTAATGTATATTCATATGCAGAGACTCTGCTGGGGAGATATATGGCAGCAGGAAGGGTGATGTGTGAATGTCAACACATAGTATGAATGTGAAGTGAAGCCACATTATGTGTTTTCATATGTATTCATACATATTACAGTGGGATCGATCTTCTCCTCTTGTCAGAAACTGTCATCTCACATTTTCAATGTATCCAGTTCATGTTTAATGATGTTCAAGTCGCCTTTTTATCTTCGCATTCAGGTTTTGTTTGGATAAATCCTTCCGCATGTTCCCAGCTGCATGGACAAAGAAGGACAAACACGGACACGGCAGATGGAAACAGAGAGGGGTGTGTCAGCACTCCATGAATTATGTCCCCTCAGACCAAAAACTGGCTTCGTGCCTCTCCAGCCGTGTTATCTGTTGTTCATCTCCTCTGCACGTTAAAAAGAAGGAGCATGATATGACTTTATATTCTGTCCCTGTATATTTACGGTTTCTTAAGTATGTCCCACAGCCTGGTCTCTCTCAAGCAACAATGCTCATCACCACCCTCTCTGTCTTATCTTGTTACATTATCATCTAAAAACGCTGGACTCTGAGCCAGCATGCAGCCCCCACAGTGACTCGGAGGTCTGTGGTCAGCCCTGCCACACCCTGCTGCTGGGACCAAACACAGCGATGGTCATTGTGATAACATGGAGAAGGAGGAGTAGGAGGAGGAGGATGGGAAGGGAGGCAGTGGTGGTGGCTGCACAAGGATTTTTGCAGTCTCAGAAGCACTGACTGAATAACGAGCAATTTTTACTCAAAGCTCACGAACCTTTAAATGATTTTGGTAAAGTGCAGCTTGTAAGCAGCAAAAATGTAAATTTATGGGACCTCGGGTTAATAAAGCTGGAAAAGCCTACAGATATATCCCACCCCCTCCCATCAGCCCTCTCGACAAAGCTATGGTAAGTGTACGTCTCTCCAGTCATACAGAGACGGACAGGTATGAAGACAAATCAATGAATTTGGTCCATACAACAGCTGTTAACAAAGACAATGGGGTCAGCAACCTTTGTTATTGATCATACAAGTTGGGTTCTACACTGGTAGCCGAAGCTAGAGCTGGGTGTTGTCTTCTGGGAGGGGGTCATGTGATTAAAGCCTGACGAAGGCTACCTCGTGACCGTCTACGCCATCGCTTACAAACATCTTGTTTCTGCCTGCAGACTAAAACACTGACCTGGAGTTTTCAAACTAAAACCAGTCAGTAATGTGGATGTGGCCTAAGAGGGAAACTTAACTGTGGCATTGGGTGGGGTCTTCTGGCAGCAGTGATTCACATCCAATGACTAAACACACACAGGCTCAATGCTTACAAAATGAGAGTGCAATGGTATTTTGATTATCTCTGCTGATTTGAGTCAGCAGCAAGCAACACTGGTCACTGCTCACACGGATAGATTTTAATGCAGACTTGAAAATGTAACACTGTAAAACCATTAATGCTTTGTTATGCGTGCATGAGTGTATTTTAACAATGTGTTTATTTGTGGCTGTATTTCCAGTATGCTGGGTACGAGTGGGTCGTATATGGACCCGTCCCTCTTCCCCGGGCGACATACTGTTGCTGCAGATTCACACGGCGCTATATAAACACCAGGATCTCTATCACTCAGCCACTGAAATAAATGACGACGCTCACATTGCTGTGGATAAGATGTCCCAGTGTGGGAGCAGAAGACGGTTTGAGTATGTCTGTCCAGTGTCATTATGAAACAGAAATAGTCTTTGCAAATTCCTGATGTCGAGCAGCTTCCTGCCCGGACAAGAACCAAATATTTAACTATGAAAAAAAAAGTATTCATAGTGACTCAGTACATTCCTGCGGGACATGCAACCCCTTATACAGTGCGTCTTAAACTGTGACTTTGGAAAGTATGTTTTGGGAGATTTTTTTTTATTTCATTATATCCCCGACCTGATTTGAGGCAGGGATGTTTTGATTGCATCAACTGTGCTATTACATTACATTACATTAGCTTTTAGAACTGTTCATTATTTCAGTCCTGGATATATGTGGACAAACGTGGAGGAAAATCATTAAAACATCTACAGGAAGTGTTCAGGGGTAAAGAAATAAAGGAGTAGAAAAGTACTACAATGTACTTTGTTCAACAAATGGCAGTTTTCATTCATGTTTTTACTTCTTATCATTTATATAACTTCTGTACATCCCTCAGTTTATGAGTCTGATGAAGCATCCTCACAAATATTCCCTCTGTGTATTATTACCTAAACAACAAGCCTGAGAAATATGTGAAGCTTAATAAGCACCATGGATCTGATTTGGCCAAACATCAAAGTTTCTCCTGACACTGACATGATTTCTAAATAAGCATGAAGAGAATCAATTTCCTGTGTTTACATCTGTGCTTTTTCATCGAAGCGGACACGATGTATTTCAAAAATAGTTTCCTGCTGACCACACAGAAAAAAGCTGCGGGACAGAAAAGAAAGAAGGAGATGTTTCATCCCAGTTAATTTCATAAAAATTTAATCAGTCGAGACTTTTCAGAGACTTTGGACATCATTCCTCTTTTTTGATCTTTCTTATGACATGTAAAGATGTTACAATGTTTAAACATGTTTTCAAGATTTCAAATTTCTTGTGTGAGCTCTTGCACACCACCTACACATTGACTGTGCCATCGAGGAACACAACTATGTCAGGGCAGGTGTATAACACGGAAGTAAAGGAGGTGCAGTGTTGAGTGTGAAGTTGTTTGGATGATGCTCTCAAAAAGCTGCTCTGTGACACATAAAGATTTCTTCTCTCCGCTCAGCGTAACATTTTTGGATTAAAGCCGAACCTGAGCTTTTCATGGTCTAATTTCCCCAACTGCAAAAATCAGGACCATAGAAGTTCTCCGATATAAATAGGATTTTCATTACACTGTTTGCTACAGACCTTTATTTCCAACTTGATTAATATTTAATGAACGCAATCTATTGTTCTATGCAGATTGTGGCTAACAGGAAGGGAGGTATAGTGATACATGATACAATGTCAGATCAGACTGCTTTCTTTGTTACAGGGTCAACACTTTAAACAACACAACCTCAAACCAAACTCAAACAATTTAATAGGGAGACTTTGTGTGTGCAGGGAGGACTCCCTCACTAACAGCTACGTCACAGCCCCAGTGGTGTGTCTTCAGCCTGCGGCTCTGTGGAGCCATTCACTGAAGAAGACAACTCTCTGACTGACAACAGCTTCACAAACACAAGACAGAGAAACGCTGACAGTGACAGACCATCTTCACTATTTTTGGAATTTGTGGGAAAATTCAATTGGGCCGTAAACAGATTATAGCGCTGACGCCGAAGTTGTGCAAGTGACAAACCGCAGAACAATCAATGAGGAACAGCAGAGCCTCACAGCAGGAACATTACACAACATCAGCAGTGATGAAGAGTCTTTTTGTTCAAAACAGAGGCCTGAAAATCTGAGGTACTTTCACGACGAGGACACGTCACATCAAAAAAAAAAATCTGTTAATACCCCACCCCCCAGAATTACTTTTAACATCTACAAATGTATTTAAATAACTGATTAACATCATCAAGGCACTGTCTTTTCCAATGTTGTCATTTGTATTTAAGAACGTATTTCAATTATCCTCAATTTTCCTTTATTACCTCCGCTGTTTGTTAATTCTAGATACATAGACGTTTATTGTCTTTGCATCAAGTACAATGAGATTGGGCGGCTGTCCTTGCCAGTACACATGTTAAAAGAAAAGATCACATCTAGATAAATAAAAATAAAAAAAAAACAAGATATTACAGGTATATAATTAATCAGCAAGATTACGTAAAACCTGCTGACCAGATTACCATGAAACTTGGTAAAGGGATGTTAAATTTTGGTGCAGATCCAGAAGTTTTTTTATCACGTTTTTTATATTTGTTTTTTGATATTTTCACCAATTTTTAAAATACAGAAATCTGCAGCATGACACAAGAACAGAGATGAGGCACCAAATTCCATGTTTTCTCTGATGAGCTTTACTTGGCGTTGTA